CCCCAAAACCCCAAAACCCCAAAACCCCAAAACCCCAAAACCCCATTTGTTCCCTAATTATTGAAATTGTTATTTGCGGGATGCCTTGATTTTCTTAGTCTTTGGCTTTCCCTTAGCTTTAGTAGAGGTCTTTGGCTTAGTGGTTTTCTTGATTTTCTTCTGGACTCTTTGGAATTCTTCCTCAGAAGGCATATCTCCCATAGGGTCATCTGGATCACAATATTTGCTTGCTAAGTTGCTTAGAAAATCATTAGAGCTTTTCTGTTTCCTTGCAAGTATTTGGCTCCTGAGATCGTCAAGACTAGGCTCAGCAGTTTTCTTTTTCTTTCTACTCTTTTTGTCTCTTTTCTTTTCACTTTTTTGTTCTTCAGCTTCTTTCACCTCTTCCTTCAATAGCTCTATATTTTCTCTAGTTTCATGATATTCTTCAGTAGCTTTGATGACTTTCTCTTCAATAAGTCTATCAAAAATCTCGATGAACCTGACAACATCATGGTTTTGAGAGAGTGGGATCCAGCTGAGAAGCTTAGTAAGATCTCCGTTATGCTGATTATAGTAATTCACAAGGTCTTCCTCTTCATCCTTACTATCCCTGTAGGATGTTGCAAAAGTATCAATGTCTTCTTCTCAGAATTCCTTATAGAAGAATCTGCATTTATTGACTAAATCATCAAGCCCATCATCATCGATTTCACCGGTGAGGTCATATCTCTTCCTTTTATTTTCATCTGAGAGTATGACATAAGCTTCATTAACTTTTTGGAACTTAGCATCAGCTTCTGGATCATCAGGGTTCTTATCAGGATGTACTCTGAGGGAAGCTAGTCTGTATGCCTTCTTAATTTGACTACTGGTTGCATTCTTCTCCACTCCAAGCCTGGTGTAAAGTTCAAAATCATGGTCTTTAGGCTTGGTCAGGTCAATATGGTCCTTCTCCTCCTCTTCAACGGAATCATTGCTGTTAATATCCTCATATTGGTCCTTTGGATCACTCATATTTGCCAAACTCACTTAATTGTATGATTTAAATTAGTTCAATTTTTTAATACCAAAGCGGGGTTTTGGGGTTTTGGGGTTTTGGGGTTTTGGGGTTTTGGGGTTTTGGGG